TTACCAATACGACCACCATCTTGAATAGACCTTATTACCAATACGACCGCCATCTTGAATTGACCTTATTACCAATACGACCGCCATCTTGAATAGACCTTACTACCAATACGACCGCCATCTTGAATAGACCCTATTGTAACTGAACGCGGCCGGCATCTTAAATAGATCCATATGACCACCGTATTGAATAATACTTATTTCATAAATAAATAAATAAACAAATAAATAAATAAGATACCTTAGTATACTATGAGGTTTTGACATTAAATTTCCTGTCTGATTATACGATTTTATTATTAGTTTTCCAATTAGATAACAGCATCAAAACAACATTCAAAGTTGATAGCATAGTATGCCACGCGTGTGTCCTATACAATCTATGTATACTAGCTACTTTWTATAATTACACMGAAAAAAGCGTTTCTTTTAAAAGTCGTACACCTTAATTACCTTTAAATTACCATAAAACTTTTAATTGTCAAGTTAAATAGTATCTTTCAGGAAATGTATACTAGYTAYTTTTTATAATYACACAGAAAAAGCTTTTCTTTTAAAAGTCATACACCTTAATKACCTTTAAATTACCATAAAAGTTTTAATTATCAAGGTAAATAGTATCTTTCGGGAAAGGTATTAGTGTAATTTGTTTCTTTTTTAATGTTAGCGCAACAGCGAACTCTAACAGTTTGTAAGACTAACTCTAACTAAACTAAGGTGAAAGAGACGTAGTCGAAAGCTTTGCTTCTTTGAACACTGTAGACGTAATTCTCATCGACTCTTCTATTCCTATGCTCATTTTCCTAGGAAAACACTGTCTAGACTGTTATAATTTCCTTTTGTACTTCTACTTCCTTTGTTCAAAAAGTGTAAATAAAACAGTTTGTGAGATCGCCTTAAAATGAGAGGTCGTCAAAACTGTATCATAGAAGGGGGAAATAGTTATCTTAGAATGCAAATATGGATTTTCAATTAGTTTTCTTACAAAATGACTATTTTTCTCTGGYCATTCAGTCTTAAGAAACGGGCAATTCATGTTGACGCAGCCTTTTGTCAAAAGATTAGAAACAAGGAAAGTACAAGGAAAGTACAGGGAAAGTAGATTTATTCTCAGTAGCTTCAGCTACATATGTACTTTTCGATATCATTCTACTGTTCTGCTCAAGGATAATTTTCAACGTTTAGAAACAATGATTAAGATCCTTTTTCTATTTGATATTTTATAGTTTTATATGTTCTTTATGTGTTTAAGTTGTTTAACAAATTCGTAGTGGGAAGGTRTGTGATGTTCTGTGAAGCTAAAATTGATTTTAAAGTGATGCAGAAGGAAAACAACCCTCAGCCAGCCACCTTAATTATTCACTGCACTCTTCAAGACAAAGGTTAACCAAATGTCTTCTAGACGTTTTATCGGTTCTACATATCGTGACAAACTGCAGACAGGAATCAGATTCACAAGTAAAGGAAAACATTTTGTATCATGCTATCATTCGATCACAAACTTACAGAAAATTTAATTAAAATTAGATCTTTTCAAGATAAGGTAATTATAGTTTGTGAGCCGTCCCAATCTGTCTCCCAACCATAGGTGTTCTAAGGAGATTTTCCCCAGTTAAATTGTTTGACTTAAGCTTAGTTTCCAACGCAATTCCAAGCCCAATGATAGGCACACGCTATAAAACAAACAGAAAAAGTAGCGCAATTGCAAGAACCTATTTTGATCTTTGTGCTTTTTGCCTTCTTTGCAACATTCACTCAAATTTATAGCGTTATAATACAATTGTGATTAAGCACTAATAAGATTGCCACTATTATTTCCATTGGTCGATCGATTCACTGCGTCWGTGTTTGTGTTTAATTTTACTTCTGTGAAATCAAAGTTGTTATTTTTTTTTTTACGAAAATAGATCTGCGCACGCGCGATATCCATGAAACAAAACGTAATTAGTAGAGCAATAAAAATAAGAACAAAGGTAAGGGAAAATTATTAGAAAGTGACAAAGGATAAGACGAAGAAGAAGAAGCAGCAGCAGCAGAAGACGACGAGGAAGAACAAGAACAAGAAGAGAACAAGAAGAAAAACAACAGCAAGAATAAGACAAGAAGAACAAGAAGAACAAGAAG